ACCTGCAAGATAGACCGCCCATTCGCATCTTGGGCCCTCTTTTTTCTCTCTTTGTGTCTTGGTCAGGCTTGCAGATAGGAGAAGGAGAAGGGGTGAAGGTTCTGTGGACTGACTGTGATAAAGTAGGAATTAAACAATGTGGCTGCACGTCACCGGGATTATGGGCATGTACCACTGTGCCCAGTTTTACCTCATTTAATTGTGTCATCCTGGGGAGTCTCCAATATTATATAGTCTTAAAAAGTCTAATATTATATATTATCATTTTCACCATACAATTGAATTGGCTGGGTCATCTTCATTGTCGGTGACGCAGAGTCAGAGTACCAGGTTCATTTTTACATACTGAATGCACCCAAACTAAACAGACCAAGGAATGATGTCCGCCCCTGAGAAGCCCCTGCCCTCGCCCTCTTCCCACAGCGTCCCTCCCCAGCAGGCACCACCACCACACAAACCACTCGCACCTGCCTGGAGATCTCGTCAGCAATGTAAATGCACAGTGGACTGCCTTTTGCTGCCTGGCTTCCCTCCCCCAACAGTAGGTTGTAAAATTCACCCCAGCCTCGTGTAGCTTGCTCATTCATGTGTTCAAATAAGCACCAGTTTACTTCTGCATTTTACTGCAGATGAGCATTTTGATGGTTTACAGTTGGGGCTCTTTATCCACCTTAATGCTCTTTGTTTATTTTCTTATTATTTCTGAGAACACAAAGCTAGACTGAGCCTCAGCTCCTACACTCAAGTGGTCTCCCACCGCAGCCCCCAGTTAGTTCCTGGGGCCACGGAGAGACAATACCTTGACTAAATAAATGCTTACAACATGCAGAAACACGCAGCCAAGGGATCTACTTTAAACATAAGCCACCAAGAAATGCAATATATATTGTAACATTTAGGACATTTCCTTCCAATTGTGTATTTTCTACTGTAAGCAAGTGACCTTTCATTAAGTTCCTCACATTATTTCTGGATTCTACTGCACGAAGCAGTTGGGACTTCCAAATGGCTCCACCGTAGCCAAGGCAGGGTGTGGCTGAGGGCTATTTCATGGTTCTGGCAGTTGTGCCCTGGGGTGGACTCGCAGGTGCCTGGCTGTGTGTGCTCACCACTGGTTGGCCCCTAGCTGGGAGCTGCAGAAGAGGCCACGGTGAGAGCTGCCGAGTCTCAGGCTCGAACGGCCACTCATCGCTCCCTCCGCACTGCCCTCCTGCACACTGAGGAGAGGGGATGCCTGTGCTGAGGAGGAGAATTGGCAGGACCAGGAGGAGCCTCGGAGCAGTCCCAAAGAGTCTCTTTCTTTCCTTCTAACACCGTGTAGGTGCCCTGGCCATCTCATGCGGCACTGTAGTTCCTTTCTAAACACTCTCTTCCTCTCTAGAAAGGGATAGGAAAGGAAATTTTAACATGGCATCTTGCTCCTACAGAACTTACCATCTCTGGGAGTGTTAATACTTTTACTGCAAATTAAAATGGGTGAGGCTCACTTGTCACATGTGTGAGCAGAGGTCACCTTTAGTACTAGTAGCCCGCACGTGTTAAGCACGACAGTCTTGCATACTGAACGAAATACAACTTGCCACTTCCCCAACACATTCTTTTTTCAAAGCTGTGTATGTCTAAATTCAATCTAAATACTCATCAGCTTGTCATTGACTAATATCAGCTCAATTTGAATACTGAAAGAAACTAATTGTATTCTATTAGGTGGAGGTAGGTTGCCTATACTATACTCCAACAAATCTGCTCAGTTAATAAGCTGATCCTTTGTACTTCTCTCTCCACACTTTGGAAACACCTGTCATCTCCCAGTTGTTTGCTACAGAGTTTAGTTCTACTACCTGATAAGTACAATTCTTTATTCCACGAATATTTGCTTAACTCACTTTAGGGCAACTACTAAGCCAAATGCTGGCCGTGGGATGAAGAGAACAGCCCTGCATGGTCCCTGTCCTCACAGGGGGCATAGCCTCTGTGAAAAGAGCAGCACTATTCACAGGGTCCTTTGATAGCACTTCAAGTGATGACATGCACAGTGTGTTCAGTAACATCCTCTGAAACGTTCGCGTCCAGGCCTGGCTCAGAATGAGACCCTGTTTGCAGATGTGAGCAGTTAAACTCACCCTTTGGAATCAGGGTGGGTTCTGAATCTTTAGCGGAGAAAGGCTGAAGAGATTCAGATACACAGGCAGAGAAACACACGAGGAAGAAGGCATGAGGTACCAGAGGCACAGAGGAGTGGGTTCAAGCCAGGGAGCAGCCGGCCTGCCCAGACTCGCCAGAGGCCAGGAGAGGGGATTCTGGTCTGGCGCCTGCGAAGGGTACACGGTCCCACTGAACCCTTGGCCTCCACTTGCAGCCTCTGGAGTGGGGAGAGGTTGGCAGATTGTGCCACTCTGCATTGCCAGGCCTGTGAATAACAGGGGGGAGCAGGCTGTCCTGGGACAGTGACACAAGGTGCATTAGGTTAGTCCACAAGAAATTGCTTTGCCCATGTGAGTATGTGGCCGAGTAGCATCCTGTGAAGTCCTGGGAGGAAGACAGATGGTTGGAGGAAGCTTCTCCAAGGGATTGCGAGGGGAGCTGAAAAGTCAGTAGAGGGAAGGAAATCCCAGACAGAGGAGGAAGAGGAGGAGGTCCAGCAGGGGGCGCGGGGCCCGTCCAGGTGCAGGCAGAGGGTGCGCAGGCCCTGGAAAGGGAAAGACAGGAGCTTCGCAGCAGGGCCAGCTGAGGCTACGTGGGAGTGAGGGCCCAAAGCGGCCCTGGAGGCTCAGGGAGAGGGTTCCAACTTTTTCTTTTAAGAACAGAGGGCCTTGGCAGGCTGAGAGCGTTTAGGAAAGAACCCTATGTTTTCATTTCAATGATGAGCCCTACCCAATACGCCAGTGATCCAGTCCTGGTGCAAGTCAAGCCCCGTGGTCACGTCCGCAGTGGCGCGCAGCCCTTCTGCTGCCCAGAGCACCGTCCTCCGTATTTCTCCCGTCACTCGCTACGCGCTGTTCCTGAGCACTCTCTGAACGAGTCCACCAGGGTAAGCGTTGTGTTTTGCTGGCGCTGAAGGTAGGACTCCACCAGGTTACACACGGATGTCGTGAGAACAGGCGCAGTGGCTCGGCTATCTCTACATCCCCAGGGGGCAGCGCAGAGTCTGGCTTGTGGATTTAGGAATGGCAGCATCGACGTGAAAATGGATGAGTTGATGAATGAATAATTAGAAATACTTCACTTCTACTCTGTCTTATCACCCTGGCTTTAGCAAGATCGAACTAATTGCTCGTGGTCTGGTCTGTCTTAATAAGTTAACTGCTTTTCTTTTCTCTGAATGTTGCCAGTTTGTTTTTGACAGTCACATCACCGACCTTTTAGAAAACAAAATTGTTTCTTGTATGTCTTCACTGAGGACAGAATCCCTTCTCCAGGTCCTCAGCACGTGCAGAAGCTAGCAAGTTAGTGTTGTGTCTTTGGCGCTGGCTCCTTGCCATCCTTCTCGTCAAGGACACGTCCTCTGCATGCATCTCCATGCTTAAGTGCTCCAGTTAGAGGAGGCAGCACTGGCCCCTGCCCTAAGGGAGATTTTCCTTGAGACAGATGGGTAAAGGTTCAGCGCCAAACCCGATAAGATGGGCGAGAGGATAGGGCGGAATGTGCCTGCTACACCTAAGAAAAACGAAAGGGCAATCTTGGTAGCAGAAATCAAGATGCCTCAGGTCTCTGGAGCTCACAGCCAGACGACAGCTGAGACATCAGTCACGTTAGAATCCGTGTCCCTGCAAAACTCAGCCGTCCCGTTCTCTCTGTCTGGGTTAGATTTTCACACAAAAGTAGCAGGAAAACTTTGCTCCCTTGTCCTGTGAGCAAAGTTCTTTCAGCCTCCAATGTTAACTTTCCCACCACCCCAAGACAAAGTGTCACTTGAAGCAGAAGCACACTCAACAAGGGGGTCATGAGCTGATGGCTTTGGAGCGGAGGTATCCAACCTGGCCGAAGGTCTGCCCGAATTGAACATGGTCGTTGGGTGGGATGCAGTTGCAAGCTGGAGAAGAAGACAGGAAGGAAGTGAAGATGAATCACATTCTGTAGAGAGATCAGAGAGGTGAAGAGGGGTAAAGGGACCTGAAGGAGGAGAGAAAGAGGACAGGAGAGTGCATAGCCGCTCTGCCAGCCGAAATCAATCTCCATCATTTCTCCTTCGCTCTGCGTTGTCTTCCATTGGTGACATTGTCTCTGCCCCACAGACACACACACACACACACACACACACAAACACACACACTATATATATGATAAATCATATATATGTGATATATGATTTTATCATATATATGATAAGTTTACTTGCTATTACTCACATATTACAGCATTTAAAAACTAGTAGTTCCGCTGCTCAGTGCCTGCCTGGCAAGTGCAAGTTCATGAGTTCGATTCCCCCAATAGAAAAAAAAAAAAAAAAAAACAACTAGCAGTTCTTAAGCGTCTTCGCAACCAAACAAAAAACTTCTGCTTTGCTGATCAAATATGTTTCTGTTTAGAGCGATTCCTTTTGATCTGCTAGACAGCCTGAGAGATTCTCTTGACATTTTCTGTTGTTTCAAATGTTATTACATTTGCATGCTTCTGTGGTTTACGCTTTTATTGTCATTCTTTTAAATTCTAACTCTAGCATCTGGAAATACAGAACAGTTTTTGTTTAGTCATGTGACCGATCTTAAGTAAAAATTATAAAATGTGCATAAGTTGAAAATAGATTTATTAGCATGAAGAATAAAATAATATAAAATTTATTCTTCATTTTATTCCAATTTAGATTTTTAAATTGTGCTTTTGTTTCCCGGGGTCAGTTCTAACACACTAGAACGCTCTCACAATGCGTGGCAGGTGAGACTTGCTTGGTGGTACTTTGCTGCCATCTACTGGTCCTCTGTGTAATTACTATCACCGCTCTAACCAGTGCTCCATTGGTTTCCCTTTTTTCTTCTGTTTGTTTGTTTGCTCTTATTTAGTTAAAGCAAAGTGAAGCAAATGCAGACACAAAAGAAAAGCTCCCTTTGCGCCTGAGGATCTTTGAAAAATTTCCAAACAGACCACAAATGGTGAAAATCTCAAAACTTCCGTCAGACTTCACGGTCCCTAAAATCAGGTACTGAAATTTTTCTTCCATTGTATATCTTAGTTACACGGTGAGCGAGTCATAATAAATTGGGCCCAACCTCTCCAACACGCACGCAGGTGGGTTTCTTTCCTGCTGTTTTTGAGCTGTTGCCTATATTTTCCGCTCTACCCCATTTGAAAACCTGTCATCCCCCCCCCCATCAGCGAGTGGGCAGTGTACAGCTCCTGGGGGGGCTTCTCCCCGCCCCCCTTTCCCCCAACTTCCCCGCAAGTAAATGACAAGAGTGCTCAGTGTGGAGGGAAGGCAGCGAGAGGTCGCCCTCTGGCCGTGAGCCCGGCAGGCATACAATCGTCATCGCGGCCCTTTTATTTCAAGCAAACAGAAAGCAGTGCAGCCAGCTCTTGGACTGCAGCATTTGATTACTCTGACACACCTGGTCACAGGAGAATTTGGCTTGCACTGTTTAAAGTACATGGTGTGTTACACTCACACTGATTTGACATTACCACTCTAGTTAAGCAAACAAATGGAATAATAATGTTCTTTTTTTATGTATTTGGTACAGGGTCTGACTATCCTCCTGTTTTCAGCCTCCCCAGAGCTGGGATTACAGGGGTGTGCCACCACACCCAGACTTGGTGGCCCGCTCAGCGCACCTGGGGCAGGGCCTTTTGTGCCAGGGATCATACCCGGGTCACTGTGCTTGCCCAAGCAGGCGCTTAGTCCACTGAGCTATCTCACCAGCCCTGGAATAATAATATTCTATTCCTTTTTAGTAATGAAAAGAAATTCTCCAGTGATAGCTCAGAAAAATCAGAACTAGAATCCAGATTATTTTAAATTATTTACTTCATAAGCTTGAGAACATCCAGGTGAGTTTGGCTACAAAAGTATGAGACTCGATATGGTCCATAAAATTTTTAATTCAAACAGAAAAAGGCAAGACGTGTATAGCCTGATG